GGGGGATCCTGGAGTTCCAGCTGTTCAAAAATGTCATTGCCCCCATGACTGGAAAAATTTTGTTTGGGCTATGGTATGGGGCAGAAAGACAGTACCACTAAAAAGAATTGAGAGAAGTGTTTTTCAATTGATAGGGGTAGTATCGATATTCGAAAGGAGAGAAAGATCATGACTTTGGGGAGCATTTTGGGAAATGACGATGCGCGTAAACCCCTCTTTTTTACGTGAAAAGAAATATCCCCTGCCAACAGACGCAGGAAACGCTTTTTGGGAATACTATTTAGAAAAGGGAAAGGCAGAAAAAGAAGTTTTGGGCCCTTAAAATAAAGAATTTAGTCCAATTTTGTTGGGCCGAAAAATTTAGCGGGGGAGGGAGTTTCTTACGTGTCCCGGGCGTTTCCCCCAGTAAATGGGAAGGTAACGACGGACATCATCAGGGGAATTTACGTTGGCGTTTAGGATAGGGCCGGAGTTGGTCCGGGAAAGAAAAGGGGGCGAAAAACGAAAATTCCGTACCGTAGAAAGGGGAAGCCGGGAAACATGTCCCCAAAGGGGAGCGGGGTTTTAGAAAAAATCGAAGGAGTCAGTCGAAGCCCCAAAAACCCCCGGGAACCCGAAGCGGGTTTAGGAAACAGCACCCAAGAGGGACAGGGGGAACAGGAGTGTCCCCAAGAGTGGGCTAAACCAAGGCGGGGGCAGAATTTGGGGGCGGTAAACAAAAAAGGGGGCCCCGGGGGGGGTGGGTTTTTATTGGGCTAGGGCTGCCCCGGTTTTGGTTTCTCCTTTTCTTTTTGTTTTTTAAGGGAAAAAAAAAAAAGAAGAAAAGAAAATAAAAACAAAAAAAAGAATAAAAAAAGGGGGAGGGGGGAGGAAAAAGTTCCCAGGAGGAAAAGAAAGGGCCGGAAAACCCCCCCCGCGCCCCCAAAAGGGCCCCGAACCAAAACCCCTAGTAGCGGGAGAGCAAACAAGGAACCCGTCCAAAACCCTTAAACCCCTTTAAGCCCGTAAACCACAATCCGGGGTAGCAACCTCAAAATTTTTGCCGAAACCTCGGTGGACAAAAAGGGGGGCGGGGCCCGGGTATCCGCCACAAAGCATACCTCCCTTTAACCACCACCCCCGGAATCCGAAAGGGGGCTTCCAAGATACAAAACCCCTCCCCAAAAAAACAACCCCCAAAATACCCGGGGCCGGAGAGGGGTCGGGCTCCCCAAAGGGAATCCCGATTCCCCCGGCAAACTACGCCAACCGCCAAGAAACCTCAACGGAATGGGATCGACCCCGGTGTCCTTTCCCCTACCTAGGAACTAGCGCGCCTGTGGGAGAAATCACGAAGGCTAAAAAGAGGAAGGGCAAAAGGGAGGGGTGAGGAGGAGGAGGAGGAATGGAAAAAGGGGAGGATGGGGAGGATGGGATAGGGGAGGGGAGAATGGGGGGTAATTAGGTTCGGTCTGAGGAAGAAGACCGACAGGGCTAATTCCTCAGACCAAGAGCCTCTTCACCACGCCAAGGAGCCCCCCTTGAAGAGGAATATCTGCTTAAAATGAATTTTACATTCCTACTTGATTAATAAAATTGAATGAATGGTTTGATTGTGTTATTTTCACAAAATACATACTTAAAGAAACACATTCAAATACAGTACAGGAGGGCCCCGCATACACACCACCCTCTTTTCAGTGTTCCATGTTTTTGGTGGTTTTCAATTGAGCCACTGTTCATTGTTTGGTGCTTTTTCTGCTTTTCCGCCATTTTCACACAACAGTTGTGTAAGGGAAAGGCAAGTGTTGTTTATATTGTATTTTTTTTTTTTTAGATGTCAGCTATTTCCCACCAAAGCAGGGTGGCCCAAAAAGATATATACATATACTGTTTACTTAACTGTTGTATCTGTTTTTTTATGGCTAGCTGTATTGAGCACTTAATACATGATAGTGTAAACACGTTATCAGGTGTTTTAGACGCATTTGATATTGAAAAAACACTTTTCCACCTGCTGATGATTTTCGCTCATCGTTGGGGGTCAACATAACAGCTGTAGAAACAGGGCCCTCCTGTACTAGAGCATATTTATGGCATTTTTAAGATGCATTACTATTGTATTAGTTACTAGATAAGAAAAGGTAAAATAATAAGCAGTGTTTACAATGATCATCTTATTGTCTCAGTGGAAGAAATCATTTCACTCCAAACATCAATGGACTACAACTCTCCATAAACATTCATCACTTGGGAAACGTACTGTTAATGAAGTCGTCACATGGGCCACCATTTTACTGTAACACAAAACAACTGTCTCATACACTTATAACCTTTCAATCTCTAGTAAAAGTTATCAGAATTATTTTTTAACTCTACTATCAGATATAGTACACAACATTTCTAAAGCCTATAATAAATGGAAGAGGGTTGACAAGCCATCTCATGTTCACAGTTCACAACTAAGCCACAATTTGCAGACAAAACTTCAGATAAAGTCCTTGTATGCCCCAATAATGATCCAGGATGGATTGAAATATAATCTCAAGTTTCCTCTAAACTGCAGGTTAGGTGCAAATTGTTGTAACATGGTACATTATTGTAACCTTTATTCAAAGTTTTCAACATTTGGTCAGTTGCTCTCACCTTTATACATGACATGAAGAAATTGTCTTGAAAATAACTAATGTATAGTTCTGGCACATAGTTAAATAAGCTTAGATTTACTTGTCATCCTTTGCAAACATTAACTAAACATGAAGTTTTAAATTTAATTGTATTTTATTCTTTAATTTATGGTAAACTATTGCCATTGGATTTTGTGATCAGTACTGCTTTTGGCATTAAGTGAAATTTTATAAAAAGTCACTAATCACTGAGAAAATGTTGAAACTAGACACTTGTAAAACTGACATGACTATATATATTGGCTGGTCAGTCTTTATAAAGATCAATGGAAAAGCTTTACCTAATTCCTTGGAATGTACTCTGGAGCAAAGAAATACCTGATAAAATATACCTAAAAGATGTTGGAGGGCCAGGCCCCAAAACTACATACTACCATAAGATACTGGAGTGAAAGACTGATAGAACTGTAAAATAAATCCAGCATAAGCAGGGGCACCATGGGCACAATAAGAGAACATACTATCAACATCCATGGTCCACAACTAGGCAGCCTATTAACAGATATCAGAAATACTGCTGGAACAAATGTAGAAGTCTTAGGAGAGGAAACTGAGTTACATACCTCTGTCAAGTGTCAGATCAATCAAGCTATGATGCTTATGTGGGCCACTAACAGCAACAGCCAGATTGAACAGTCACTTGACAAGGATGCTTGGCCAGAGGCTGGGCTAGTAAGATAGAAAAACCCTTGAAATGGGTCACAAGTATATCACCAGGTACACCACTCATGAGGAATATGACACTGTATATTTAGATTATACATGTCTTTTTTTTCTTTAGTCAATTCATCTAAAGCAGTATCTGAAAAAATCTACCATTTCATATAATTACATAAAGATTTATTTTTAAAGGGTTTAATAGAGTGAGAAATATACCACAGGACGATTTTTCTTCCTCAATTTGCAAAGGCTATGAAAGAACACTTATCATTATTCACTGTAAAACCTATGGTCATTTAAACAGTAATACTCTCCTCAATAATGAACAATGAGCAACAAATGAGCCAACAACATAGCTATGTAAATGTGATCATTAATATTATATTTAGTGTAGTCCATGAGAAAGTGGAGAAGAATCATTCCTCCGTAGGCCATGCGTGTCGTAAGAGGCAACTAAAATGACGAGAGTAAAGGGATAGTAACTCCTCCTCGGTGGGAGACGGCCAGTGTGTTAAAAAAAAAAAAAAGTGTGTGCATGTGTGTGTTCAAATCAAGACTTGAATAATAATGCATTAGTGCTATCAACAATAAATATTGTTACAGAAAACAGTACAGGAAGTGAATTGAAAGAAGAGGCTTTTGGAAATGAAGTAAGTAATGCAGTTTCTAACTTCTCGTGAAATGCTAACATTTTCATCATGCAGCACTGAAATTTCAAGAATGCTGTGCCAAAGTAGCAGCATCACAATATACAGATTTTAGAACAAATCAATCAGAAATTGAAGCTGTAGAGCAGATTCCTATTATTTTCTCTACTCTTCAGAATAATTCAGCTGAAACTGTAATCCTCAGTTTCATATTCTCTATACATGTATTAGCTTACATCATAAGTTCATGCCACCAAAAAGCCAACAGCAAAGTATACTAACCAAATTTCAGATTAGATATTTCAAGCTATCTCTGCATACTATATCATTAGTGTGCATAAAGTTATTTCTATATCACAAAAATATAAATCTATGAGCATTACAATAAAGGCACTTTCTAGGAGCAGTATCATATAGTATATCTTTCATACACATTGAAAATTTTATTATCTGAAACCGGTATTTATTGTCTTTTGTAAAGGAATGGATTCTGATGATTAAAAAAAAATTACTGGGTACCATAGTCAAAATGCTCTACTGTCTATAAACGGATAACTAAAGATTTAAAAAACATAATAGCAATACAGTAAATATTTTGGATGGATGAATAATGGTGAATGTGTTTCCTTTTTTTTTTTCTTTTTTTGCCACCCTACCTTGGCTAATGGTCAATACAGTAACAATGATAAAATTGAGGGGTGTGAGTATGTTAATATTTCTAGTTAAAATGAGCTGATAGATGCATGAAGCACATCCCTTCTAGATAACATGGGGGTAATTTCATTCACTCAGTCATGTCCATACACAAGCATATACACAATCTCATTCCCCCCCCATCCCCTATAGGGTCACAAACCAAGTGCTATTAAAATTAAATACAACACTCTAACAAGAAAGCACACTACTGGAATGTCAAACCCATTCTGATTAATAAAGTTTATGTCTCTGCATGCTTGGTTTTCTGGTCACCAGCTCTCGGTGGTAGTGGTGTTACCTGGGATTCACGCAATATTTCTTTGGCACTTACTTCATCAGCTTTACCCTTGGCATCATTTTCATCTAATGTTAATGTCACTTCAACAAGCTCAGCTTCCTCTTCGTCACCAACATCATCAACTTGGTCTAAATCTTCCCCAATTTCTGTGCTCTCCTCAGGGGGTAAAGTAGCTTCACCTTTGTCATCAAGAATTTCTGGATTGGTTTCAAGAACAGTGTCAGATATATCATCACTGGCATCACTCTGTATATCAATATTAACAAAAACATCAGCATTATCATTAACATTACCATTGCTATCTACAGAATTAATTTTACCTTCAGTCTTATCCTTCACATCAATATTTTCCTTGCCTTTATCACTACTCAAACCTACATTTTCATTATCAATATTATGATCCTCATTACTGATACTAGCTTGATCTACATGATCGTTATGAACCTCTTCAGTGTTACCTTTAGAATACTTGTTGACATCAGAAATATCATTAGGATCATTACCACCTGAACTGCAAAGAGTACAAGTTCCTGCAATGTCATCTTTTTCATCACTTCCTAAATCTTCAACCACTTCCAAGGGCTCCTCTGCTGCTTCAATTATCTCTTCCCTAGTACAAGATTTAGAGGTATCTTGCTTATCTACATGAGCATGAACATCCTCAATATCAATAATTTCCCCTTCAGGGGCAAAGCAGCCAGTATTTGGAAGTGTGGGTTCTGAAAGCATACCAGTTTCTTCAGTGACTATTTCTGGTTCCATGTTTTCAACAATACCTCTGTTATATTCTACTTTCTCTCCCTGTAACTGTGGCTGATTTATACTCTCCATATTCATTTCATCACTTATCTTGCCTTCACTTTCTGTTTTATCTGTCACTTTCTCTTCTGACTTAAAACTATTCTCCTCTAATATGTCTTTGCGATCTTCATCCTCGATAGGTTTATCTACACTTTCTTCCTGCGTCAGCTCTTCTCCTGTGCTAGTGCTTTCTATCACTATTTCTGGAGTTTCAACAGGAATCCATGACCAATCTATGCTTTCTTCATCTAGATTCTTTAACAGAAACACTGCTGGCTTGACTCTCACCTGTAGAAAGAAATATACAGCAAAGAATCCATTAACACACAAGTACTGTAACAAATTAGGGGAACATAATACTGTACAAGAGGTCCCCAAACTCAGAAATGTCCCTAGTAACACCCCTGCACTTACAAATAGGGCATTTAAGAACTATTTAATATTTTGCCACCTCTAACCTGCAGTACAAACATGAAATGCAACCATCTATTGAACTACTGTTTTCTACACAAACAACTCAAAGTGAAAAACCAGAAGCACAACTCATTTGAAAGTTGGAGTCCTCCTTTATTATCACAAAGTTGTAGTAGGAAAGTTGGAAGTATGTGTAACATAAATGGATTTCAGCCATGATTTTTTTTTTTTTTTTCAACAAGTTGGTCGTCTCCCACCGAGGCAGGGTGACCCAAAAAAGAAAGAAAATCCCCAAAAAGAAAATACTTTCATCATCATTCAACACTTTCACTACACTCACACATTATCACTGCTTTTGCAGAGGTGCTCAGAATACAACAGTTTAGAAGCATATACGTATAAAGATACACAACATATCCCTCCAAACTGCCAATGAAATATAATACAGTATACATATTGTATTTTACAAGTTAAAAGTTCACAATGAAATCAAATAAAATCAATAGTCTGCTACTAGGCTGGGTTATCCAAAGAAGAAAACACAAATATCATGGTTCATTGATAACTCACCAAACTACAACCTCCCCAAAACAGTGTGATGCCCACACAACTTTTGGTAACCACATGACCAAGAGCATATTATAATCATAGGGGAGCGCTAAACCTGTAGGATTATAAAGTGCACGTGGGGGGGAGGATGGAAGGTATTCAGGCTCAATTCAGGGAACCAGAGCACAGATCCAATTCCCTAGATCAAGATCCCCTCACCAGCATCCAGGAACCTCCCTTGAGGGGTACCAAGAGCATAGTCATAAGGAAGATTGAAACACTAAAAGTTGCAATGGTTGGCGGATAAATATGCGAGAATCTATAAAAGGACTTTCAAAATGAACATAGATAAGTGCAAGGTGATGAGAGAAAAAAAAGTATAGAATATGAAAGATTGAATATCAGATTTGAGGTAGGAAACATGGATGAAGTGAATTTATTCAACTACGTACAAGGGAGTGGATATTTCGGTAGATGGAATGTGAGCAAGGTAAAATTTATGAAGGGATTCAATGAAGCTAGTTAGCCAGACTTTAGTTCTGGAAGTGAGAGGTACAGTCCTTGCACTCTGAATGATGGTGGGGATGTTGCAATTCAGAGGGTCATTTGAACTGTCATGTCTTCACACTTCTGAGTAATAGTGAATGGATTTCCTTTTCTGGGTCACCCTACTTTGATGGAAGATGGCCAGTGTTAAAAAATATGAATAATAATTATAAACTGGGACAATTATCTTACAAAAAATACCTTTACTGGAGGAAATTGCTGATAATTGAAACTGAGATGTGAAAATGCTTCTACTGAAGAGACAATCTCATGAGAGGACGTGTAATGCTTCAGATTGTATGAGTATTTTGACTTGGCCTCGACCAGAAGGTGACTGAAAGACCTCATACTTTTACTTCCTGCTTTCATATTTTCTGTCTTGTTGTATCTGAAAAAATTTGAAGGTGAAACAGGCTTTTTTTCATAAAAGTATGAATATGCAAAAATTGCACCTGTTACTTTGGATTACAAAAAAAAAAAAAAAATAAATAAATCTTATCAGAGTGCAAGTACAGTATAAATATAAATTCAATAATTTTCAATTTATGCTGAGTAGACAAACGGGGATTTTTTCAATTATTTATTATGCTGCTTCCTGCCAATGTAGTTGATCCTCTGAAAACCAATCGTCGTTGCTAGAGGTTCAGAAGGTAAGGAAATAAAACCCATACCTACTGACAGCATTATTTCTCCTACATCTGATAATGGTTCCAGAGATCATTGCCCCTGGTATCTGGTCTGAAATAAGGCCTCAAGAACTGGAAAGTAATAGGAAACTAACATATTAAGAAATGCACAGGAAATATAATGTAGACATAAGTTTATAGTAGTAATTGTGACATTTATAGAGCACTCTGACTGTGTAGGTCATTCAGTGCTCATAGCCATACAATACGCACAAAATAAAACAAGAATAAAATTAAACAATAGGGTAAAAGTTTTTATGATTTACCTGTCATCTAGTATGTCAATGTAAAATGTTTAACAGGCTTCCATTTCACACATGACAGGATGGTAGTACCTCCCCGGATGGTTACTGTCTACTAACCTCTATATAAACCTTAAAGGTTTAGTATTTCTTTGATTGCAATTAATAAACTTCTACTAACCTACTACCTACTTCTTTATCTGGAAGTATGAAAACAACAGGTGTTCAGTACTGCTCTATATTTTTAACTACTATATGTTTGTGAAACATGCCTTAACTCACCTCCAGTGATCATGAAGTTGTGTAAACCTTGATACTCCAGTTTGAGCTACATAGTTATCAATATGAACATTGGCAAATGCATCTGGAGGGATTATCTGATGCAGCTTGTGTATAGCTGCTCCTCCCGGATAATTATTGGCTGATATGGTGAGCAGAAGAGTGGTGAATGCCGCATTCACTAGCAGATGGAGCACACATCCAATGGCTAATAACTGACGAGTGCCAGATTTTTCTCGACCTTCCCAGCTGTAACACAGGTACATTACTGTAGTCATAAAACATAATTTTGAACTTATAACCACTGTATGAACATAGCTGTAAATATTTATTTTTTTACTCGTTTTGGGATCAAATGAGAACTAATGACTACCATATTTCCCAACAAAGCAGTGAAACTCAAAGATAATGCAATTATTAGCAGCTTTCTAGCTGTCCCTCCAAAAGCATAACTTAACCAAAGTGGGTTACTACTGATAATAATCAGCCTAAAGAATTAGATTATAAATTAATGTTTTTATAAATCATACATTACTTGCAAGCTAAGCTACAGTGCAGATTTGCTAAACAATACAGGAAAACATCATAATCATTAAATAATTAGGTTATCTGGAAGAGAATCTCACTTAACCTACCCAGTATTTCTCCATTCTTTGTAGTGAGCTTAGCATCCCTAATCAAATCCACATTAATATAATGGTAAACCAGGCAGAATCTTCAAACTTGAATGTAATGTAGTAAATAACATATAATTTAAGAAACTTACAAAAATTGGCAAGCTCTGGCAGCTGCAATGTTGAAGACTGGGAAGACATATATAATAAACCGAAGTTCCTTGTGGGGCAGAAAGGAATACAGGATGACAAATATTAGAGCTGGTGTAATTAGTACTTGCAACCGCTTGTCAAGGGCCACACCTACAGGAGCCAAGAGAAAGCTTGAACCCAAAGCTCTTGGTAGTGCAGAGTACCAGTACCACAAAAATGGTGAAGTCTGATAAAAGTTAAGGATACATATAAGAAATACAGTACCTTCATTAATCAGAAACAAGCAATGTTATTCAGTTCCATGAAGATTTTATTTTGAGTGAAGAACTTTTTCTTTTTCAACCAGAAGGAATATCATCTTTGAATACTGAAATTAGGAGGAGGCCGGAGGCAGTGGAGATGTCATGTAGTGTAAGCATGCAAATAATATAAGATGTAGTGAATATATAGTTTTTCTATGAAGAGGGTGAAAATGAATCATATAAGTACAAGGCTGATCATTGCAATAAAACAACCTTTTTTATACTGAAAGGATACACCCCAGGTACTGCTTTGGTTTTTATAAGTATTAAACCAGAAAACTTCTCCTTCTGGCCACAGTAGTCGACCCCAGAACAGTGAATCTATGGCAATAGTTGTCATTAAGCAGCAGAGTCCAGCTGGTATCACACACTGAAGAAATCTGTGATGGACAGAAAAACAATAAAGGAGTGTTTGAGAATAAATAACACCATATGGCAATCTTTAAAGGAAACACAGAAATGAGGAAGAGACAAATTAAAGTTATCTAAATCATGTGAGGTATTGCTTTGATACTCATAGAACTGGTGGTGATAAACGTGCCATTACTGGACACTAATGTTTGTGACCCAAAAACTGAATGACTGAGTTACTAAACTTTTAGAAATACAAGAGCTTTGCTAATGTAATGTTATTGGACTGTGCAAAGGAATGGAATAATCTACAAAATAAATTGTACATTGGTGTATCTTAATGGTTTGTTCATTATATCCCCGAAATAGTGTTTCTCTCTTATGAATTATCCTGAGTTTTAATAATAAACTTTGAAATTGGAAATTATATATTTTTTTTTTTGGTGAAAATTCAGAATATTAATTCTTACATGCCAAAAACACATGAATTATTCACAATAAAATAATTATTTTTAACACTTTTTTGTTGGAACAAAACTAATAATTTATATTTATTTATTTACTCTATTTTCTACCATTCTGGTCATTTCCCACCAAGGAAGGAAACACATTTAATATTCATTCAATATATGTCTTGCCAGAAGTGCACAAAGATGACAACTAAAATGACCCTCCAAAATGCATGGTTTTTCCCTTGATCTCTTCATAAATATTTCTGTACCTTCCTCACACTCCAACAGAACATCAAATCACAAAAACTTTTACTAATTTTATAGATCAATTACTGCAGTTGTACTAAGAGTTAACAATAAATTACAAAACTATAAAAAGCAATAGCATTTATACATGTATAGACATTTCTTATATTATTCTCTTTTTTTCTTTCACATCTAATACATGTATCGTATTTCCGGCACAGGATCGTATGAGACATGTAAGACAGAGTTTCCAAGCAGTTGTAACGTAACATTAGTAAACAACTGCTAAAGAGTAACCCAAAACCTACCCTTGACCCTGACCTTGAGCATTTAAGGCGCAGGCTGATTTTCCAAGAATTTTTGTGGGGAAAAAAGTGCACCTTATATGTACACCTACCATCCGACTTACGACCAAGTTCGGTTCCGAGAAACCGGTCGTAAGTCGAACTTTACTGAACATCAACAAAACATTTTTGTAATGACAATTTTATTGTTTTATTTTGGTATTTCATGTTTTACTTTACTTTTCATGTTGTTAGTACTGTATTTTATACTGTAAGGTTTAGGATAAACACTGTGTACAACACAAATAGTTGTTTATTTCCCAGAAATTTGGCATAAAAAACACGGTCGTAAGTCGAGTGTTCGTAAGTCGAGCAGGTCGTAAGTCGGATGGTAGGTGTATTACGTTAGTTTGTAATACATGGCCAACTTGGCTATAATGTGTTGCCTAACTTGGAATCATCTACTGTATGCAATATACTTGCAGGGAGCAACGTACAACCATGTACTATAAAGTTGCCAAGTGTAACCAAAAAACTCGGATTTCTCAATACTATAATTTGATAAAAATATAAACAACCCAAGAGCTTACTCCCTGATATGAAGTAATTATTTTTGAGTACTAAATGATCTATCCAAACTACTGTATTGTGGAGATACTAATATTTAATAAAGTTTTTAAAGACAAACTATTTCTGAATACTGTAATATTCTGGTAAAGATATTTACACTACACTTAAGCAATAATCTTTCTTTCTTTCAACACACTGGCCATATCCCACCGAGGCAGGGTGGCCCAAAAGGAAAAACAAAAGTTTCTCCTTTTACATTTAGTAATATATACAGGAGAAGGGGTTACTAGCCCCTTGCTCCCGGCATTTTAGTCGCCTCTTACAACACGCATGGCTTACAGAGGAAGAATTCTGTTCCACTTCCCCATGGAGGTAAGAGAAAATAAACAAGAACAAGAACTAGAAAGAAAATACAAGAAAACCCAGAGGGGGGTGCATATATATGCTTGTACATGTATGTGTAGTGTGACCTAAGTGTTAAATAGAAGTAGCAAGACGTACCTGAAATCTTGCATGTTTATGAGACAGAAAAAAGGACACCAGCAATCCTACCATCATGTAAAACAATTACAGGCTTTCGTTTTACACTCACTTGGCAGGACGGTAGTACGTCCCTGGGCGGTTGCTGTCTACCAACCTACTACCTAGGACGTAAGCAATAAATTATGACATAATGAGGAATGACAAAAAAATAAGTCACATTACTGGTACTATTCACAACCCACAAACTGGAGATGTACCTAGACAATGTTTGAGTCAATAGTGGATATACACAATTATGGCTCAGGATGGCCCAAAACGTCCAACTCAAGGAGTGATAACATTTGTACCAATATTGAGATATACATTTTTTCCAGTTTTTCTCTCAAGTTATTATTTGCCATATGATGAATATTGTACCATAAGCATATTGAGAAGTGAGCTGTTTGAGTTGTATGTTAGTTTTATGCTGAAATGAATGTAAATCCTGAATGCAGACCATTTTGCATGCAGGAAATTGTTTCCTAAAATCAGAATTAAATTTTATATTAAAGGTAGCCTATACTTCTGATACATCTTGGAAATTTTCAACAAAATTGCCTACTAACTTTTAACCAACAATGAAGTGAATGTATCCCTCACATAATGCTTGGCCAAATATTTTTCTTGCAAAACTGACGTGTTTTTCCCTATGGATTTAATACTTTTCCATTGCTGTATTTACTGAATTATATATGTCAGATACACTCTTCAGCTAATTTTTAATCTTTTCTTATGACCAGACCTTTCTCCTTATAATGGCCTACTATCATTAAACAAAATATTTCCAGTATACCTGCCTTGAATTTCTTGTTGCTTAATCTGGTCATTCTTCTAATGCAACATAACCCCTTTCATATACTGTACTGTACAGTATGCTGTAATGCATTTCTAGTTCTTGCACTATACAAGAAATTGTTCCATTTGCACATTGCATCTGCAAACATTAAAGCAGACTGTTCCACCCCATACACCACTTTTTCCACATCTGCAATCAAATAGTGGTACCTCGGGATATGAACAGCTGAAAACTTGAACAATTATGTAAGTGTGTTTATGTAAGTGCTTTTCTAAGTGTATTTTTGGGGGTCTGAAACGGATTAATCTAATTTACATTATTCCTTATGGGAACAAATTTGTTCGGTATCGGCACTCGAACAGCCTTCTGGAACAAATTAAGTTTGTATCCCGAGATACCACTGTATTATTTTCTTCTGTCAATTTGTTAAAGCATTATAGTAATTTCCAAAAATGAAAATCTCTTTATTCATCAACATTCCTCAAATTACACTATTTATCAGCCCTTTTTCACAAATAAAGGTGGTTTCCAACTATATGTACAAGGTGTGAGGAACTAGATAAATGACTTATTATAGTTTTAGATATGTGGAGAGAATAATAGATAATACTACAAGGAAAACATACAGAAGTATGGTTCATAGGGTCAGTGTGATAGGCAAGAAACCAATACAATATCCTTGAAAGATAAAGTATAGGAGTAAATATAGGAAAATATTCCATGTGGGAATAATGGAAATAAAACAGGAAAGCAGTACATGTTCAACAAGTTTAGTATGTTAGGTAAGACACACATGCAACAGTTAGGTATCTTTATTTCGAAACGTTTCGCCTACACAGTAGGCTTCTTCAGTCGAGTACAGAAAAGTTGATAGAAGCAGAAGATACTTGAAGACGATGTAATCAGTCCATCACCCTTAAAGTTTTGAGGTGGTCAGTCCCTCAGTCTGGAGAAGAGCATTGTTCCATGGAATGAAACAATGTGGAGATGAAGTGACAGGATGGAGCCTTATATAGCGCCAAGAGGTGAGACGTAGGTCACTAGAAGAGGTAAGAACTCAGATGCTGGGAGGTCAGGTCCCTCTCAAATCCATCCGTTCTCACTAGTAGAGGTTGTCGAAGTTGATTGTAGGTCTGTACCAAGATACCCTTGTGTTGCAGTGTCTGACAGATTGAACATTAAAATGGTATAAAATACCGACAGGTTGTTAGGTAAGACACATATGCAACAGTTAGGTATCTTTATTTCGAAACGTTTCGCCTACACAGTAGGCTTCTTCATTCCATGGAACAATGCTCTTCTCCAGACTGAGGGACTGACCACCTCAAAACTTTAAGGGTGATGGACTGATTACATCGTCTTCAAGTATCTTCTGCTTCTATCAACTTTTCTGTACTCGACTGAAGAAGCCTACTGTGTAGGCGAAACGTTTCGAAATAAAGATACCTAACTGTTGCATATGTGTCTTACCTAACAACCTGTCGGTATTTTATACCATTTTAATGTTCAAGTTTAGTATGCCAAAGTAAACAAGACAAGGCTGATCAGACTGTGCTGAAAGCAAAGTTTAGGGAGTTCAAAACACTAATACAGGTTGGCCATCACTAATCCGGCATCAGTGGAACCTGTAGTGTGCCGGATTAGCGAGTTTACCAGATTACAGAGTGGTTACGTTAGAATACACTTAATTAACCTATCAATAGAGACTTTCTGCTACATCTTCCTCATTGTCATTACTGCTTACTCCTCCACTGGCTTGTTGCTATGGATTTACAACCATCTGCACAATTTCTGAGTCAGTATAAAGATGAAATCTGAAATTATGCTAGCCGAAATTACTGCTGGATTACTGATGGAACAGGATAACTGATTGCTGGATTAGTGATGGTCATCCTGTATAACACCATTTTCAAATAATCATTCTCACAATTGTAAAACCAGAGGAAGTTGATTAACTCACGGTAGGGTCTGTAATCTTCGAGTAAGGAGATCAGCCAGCAACATGGGCCCCAAAAATAGACATAATTCAGAGCGGAATATCAACACTGCAATTCCACACGTCCATATAAGTGCATGGTGTTGCTGCTCCAACCAGAAAGAGAATGCAAGCAGAGCTGAAAAACAATTCAGATGATAAGCTAATTGAAAAAACAATACATTACACAAGCATAGTGCATAATGAATCTGCACTATGTGAAACTCTGCACTGCAATTCCACAAGCAAGTTAATTAATCACAGGCTATTTTTTGTAAATAGTATCTATAAAAAAATTTTATTACTGCAGTATCACTTTGCTAAAAAAAAATCTAAAAAATTGCTGTCTTACCAACAACAAGTGCAAATGTATTTGGAAGTGGGCGACTTAAGTAGTACATGAAATGGAACTGGGAGGCTGTGATGAATGTGAACCAGAATGTGAGGGGCAGTCCAAAACTCTCTTGTAACTGCTTGCGGAGTCTTCGCCATGCCACAATAACCAGAAGTCCCAGTACACCACGCACTGCTCAAAAATATTTAGTATTTTTATGTTAAAAATTAAAAAATAAACACTTACGTAAACCCTATAGGTCATTTTTGTATTTGAAATGTATAGTCAACATGACATATACCATTTTAACCCTTTAACTGCGTCGAACCTCTTAGTATGCAAATGATGACTGTGTCAGACGTTCCAGTATGAACGATTTTTCATTCCTTCAAGTATGTCACTTGCCATTATTTTTTTTACCTCAGCACAACTGTTTGGGTCATCTACAATCTTTTCACGTCTTTGAAAAAAATCTAAGACCAGACAGGTCAATCATGGGTAACACTACCTAACTAGCATATGTAAGCAATGAAACCAGGATCTGTTGTTCCACCAGCAGCTTCCCTCAGCATAGTATGTATGTGAAACTGCCAGGAAGATGCCCCATTTATTCCAAATTTATTAATTAATTTCATCATACTAATAGTGTAATTCAGCCAAAAAGCACACTATGTAGATTTAACCTAGAATAACCGAATAAAATCAATCAATGAAACTTATTTACATGTTTTAATGAGTATTTATACCTTACAACAACTGTAATATCAAATGATTTCCTTGTAAATACATGTATATGCTTTACAGTGATCTTGAAGGCACACAGGTGTTATGGACATAGAAATTACATTATGTTTACATAACCCAGGATATTCCCTCCAACCTAAATATATGTACTATATATGTATTCATAACATAATAATAATCCAATACAGGTGCATAATAGATACAGTATTAAACTAAAACAATAAAGTCAAAGTGATATATTTCCATATACTGATAAATATTTACAGCAGACACTTGCTAATTTACTGGTTTAAATTCCTGTACCTATAATGAATCTGCCAACTGTAAACTATATTTAATAAGAAATTATGGTAAAGAATAAAAAGATTTCTGGAACTGGCAACTGGAACCCCTCAATTCTGAGACTCTTCAAATAATTGAGACAGTATGTGGAGGGAGGCATTTAGTGTACCTGGTGACATGACCTACAGGAGAGTGCAGAACAAATGATTTTACTGCCAATGACATTAAAGCATAAGGTTTCCATTATCCTGAAGAGATACTGAGATTCAAAACAGTCACAACAGTTAATGATATAATTAATTTTTCTTTCATTTGTACAATGTGCCTGTTTATAACAAGAATGCATGTTCCCAATCTATGTGGTTGAAAATTTGAATATACCTCGAGGGTATTCCGAGGGTCAATAGCCTGGTCAACCAGGCAGTTACTGCTAGCTGCACACAGATTGACATATGAACCACAGCCTGGCTTGTCAGGTACTGACTTCAGGTGAATAGGCGAGCATTCTTGTGCATACATTAAGGATCGTTTGTGTTTGATGATTCTAATGTTAAAGTTCTTTCAGTTGTCTAAACAACATAGTTGTCATTGTACTATTATTATATTTAGGGGAAGCACTAAACCCAGAGGTTATACAATGCCTGGGAAATGTGAGGCATTCAGGAAGTGGTGAACAAATCCAATGACTAATCAAGAGCCCCTCACCAGTATCAAGGAACCTTACTTGAGGGAAGCTATCACCACAACCATCCCAAATTTCATCATGTTATGGCTAATGAAATCCTGATGTTATCATGGCACTGGGGTAACTTGTTCCTGGTTCACCTGTAGGTATGTCACTTGCTATATAATTCCCTCTATTTATATGCTGGTGTATCTGCTTGAAGAGGGTCTCAGAACCCAGACCAAAAATATATAGGTACACTGTAGAAAATGAGCAATGATGAGTGTGGTTCCGTCTTCAGGTTACCCTATCTTGATAGGAAACTGACAGCGTGTTGCAAAACTAGCTACATATACACTTAAATATACTGTAGCATATATCTTCAAATGAAAAAACTAAAACAGCTTGAATTACTTACCAATGTACTGAGCAATAAATTTGTTGAGTCCAAGAAGTTGGATAACAGCCACAGCCGGGTAGGCAATTACTGACACCACTATGGGACCCACAAATGTACGTGGAACCACCCCTGGGAATTCCAAGTGGTCATACTGTGAAAAACAAAACAGACTGAAAGATCTAAATTACCAAATATAAATTATATTTTATATACTGTACCTCCTTTACAATATTGCCAAATAGCTCATTCAGAATTTTGTGTGTAATTCTTTTAAAAGTAGCTTAATCTGGGACCTGGTCAAGGAGAGGGTGACTCCCTAAATCACCTACAGGTAATCCTAGAAAAGTCTAATGTGATTCAAAGAATTATTTGTGAAAAAATATAAATGTTAATTGATAAATGGTGTATTAATAATAATACATTAATAATTAATAATATGCAATGACTTTCTTGACCAGGGGTTAGCAACCCCTGGCCCGCAGGCCACATCTAGCCCAGGTGAGGTTTTCGTCCAGTCCGCCAACTTAACACCTGGACACTAATTTTCTAATTAGTATCGAATATAGATGCAGTACTTCACTTCAAGGTTAATGATTTGTGATAAATTGTATTAAGTATTATTATAATTAGGTCAAAATTGGCTTAAAAAGATAATGGCAACCCTGAGTTTGAGAAAACAATTTTATATTACATTTAATAACATGGCCCTCCTCCAAAAGACTGCATCGTTGTCTGTCCCTCTCTCTCCAAAAGGTTGCTGACCCCTGTTCTAGACTATGGTGTGTGCAAAAGCAGATGCCTACTAGAAATGGGTGACAAGTAAATACAAGCTTACTAATCTTTACTCAACTTCCACTAGTGGTCTGTTCTGGAAAGGTGGAGTCCCTGACTGGATTCCTGTCAAGTGTGGACTGAACTTAAGACCTCTAAAGGTAATCCCTCTGCATTCCTTGCTTTATGAATAAAACTACTTAGTGTGAAAATGCATTATCCTGGAATGACAATTCAAAAATAAGCTGCATTACTACAGAATGGGTATCAAAAATCTAATTTATATGTGGATATATGTAGCATATATTAGCATTGTCTAAGCTAACACACGCTATGCAAATATGAATGTATGTGCATGCATATTCAATTATATTCACATTTAAGCATTAAATCTGGGAAATAAGAATAATTCTGGTTTGATCCAAGGAAGGAAACAGTAGCCATAGTTCATCGAATCAAGAATAATTCACTAGTATGAACCAGTAATTACCTCCTCCAGATTAATCCCATTGTAAAGCAGATCATGGCAGGCTTGTAGGTTAAAACTCTCTTCCACTTTGGTGTATGGAGCAGTTACAAGATGCAGCAGAGCCACACCCATGATCAACCAGTCCATCTTAAAATACAGAAAAAGAATAATGGGAATTAGTCACTGAATTTTTGGGGTTATCCCAGGTAATTTACACACATGTTAAACTATGCATGATAATTGTACTTTAGAGTAACAGTACCTATACCCAAGTAAACTTACTAAATCATGTTCTAAAAAATACTGTCAATGTTAAACAAATAAAATGAACTGTGCACTGTACTAAAAAATCAAACCAAAGTCACTGAAAATCTATGAATACTTTAATAAAAAAAAATTAGGTAATAAAAGACAACTGCTCCTCAGTGGAATTTAACCATTACTTTGAATTGTACAAGAAGTATATTCAGGTACAGGTACACATAAATAGTTGCATAAATTACCATACATAGCAGCATATGTGTAGATTACCTAGTCCTAGGATAACACAAAAAAAAAAGTCAAAGTGACTTATTTCCATTGGGGTCCTTGACAATACTATTAAGTTTCTTTACATTTGAGATATCACAGTATTTTGAAAGCAAATGGTCAAAAACTTAACCTAACGAAACTCGCCCAACCCAAGCTAAATAACCAAATGTAGCTTAACCTTACTCCATTATCAGTAGACATGTATCTTTGTTTACACTCAGCCATGCATATAACATGGCTGAATAATACACGCTGACTGGCTCAGATGTGTTATGCAACTTAATATATGTACGTTTTTACAATACGGTATCTGCAAGAATAACAGTTTACACACGAAATATTTATTCAGCGGTGTCAATAGGTTGTATGTGTTTAAATTTACTGAGTTATCTTAGATTAAATACACAACGGTTCTCTGTGACCTCTAAACCAGTGTACAAATTCGTAAGAAAGTTAATTTAGGTACAGGTACACGTAAATACGGTTACACAAATTATCATACATAGTAATGTGTGTAAGTTATTTAAACCAAAAGTATCAAAGTGGCATATTTCCATTAGTAAGTTTATTCTGGTATATTATTATTATTATTATAATGAAGGGGGAAGCGCTAAACCCATAGGATTATACAGCACCTGGGGGGATGTGGAAGGCATTCAGGCTTAATTCGGGGAACTGGAGCACAGATCCAATTCCCTAAATCAAGAGCCCCTCACCAACATCAAGGAACCTTCCCTGAGGGGTATTCTGGTATAGGTACACAAATAATTACATAAATTATCATACATAGGAGCATATGTGTAGATTACCCAGGATAACCTGAAAAAGCCAAAGAGACTTATTTCCCTTGGGGTCCTTGTTATATCTTATTATTTAAACCTTAAAAGTTAAAACAGCCAAGAGCTCGAGTACTGCAAAATCGTATATTTATTTCCTAAATTATATCTTAACTATGCACACATACATGCTGTGTATATTAAAATATTTAGGGGGGCTGAGGAGAAGTGCTAAACCCGTCGGGGTCATACAGCACCTGGGGAATTGGTAATACGTAAGTTTATTTAGGTACAGGCTTGATCCAAGGAAGTGGAGTTAGTTTCAATTTCCTGGATGAAGAGCCCTTCACCAGCCTCACGGCCCCCCCATTGTAAAGATTTAAAATATTATAATCATAACTAAGCGCTAAACCCACAAGGGACATACAACGTTGAGTATTATTATTAGCGCTGTATGTCCCATGTGGGTTTAGTGCTTAGTTTTTATAATTTTATTTCATTCATGGGTGAGCGCCGCTGGACCCATAAGTCACGCCATAATGGGAGGCTCTCAGGTTGGATCCAAGGCAGGCGAGGTCAGATCCAATTCCTTGGATCAAGATTCCCTCAACAAGATGAAGGCAGGAGCCTTGAGGACTCCACACACACACACATAAAGATGAGTGAAGACGAGGTGTGTCTCACCATGTTGGTGTGTTGGGCCGGGTAAGCTGTGTGCTCACATTATCCTGGTGACCTGACCTCTTGACACCACCCTTGCAGGTCACAGAGGTCAACACTGCCAGTGGTCACCACAGCCAGGGTAATAAGGCTGAGGGGAGGTCAATATCACAGGTTAACAAGTGGTGCCAGCAGGAGCCGCCATCCTCAGCACGCAGCTGCTGCCTCAACACTATTATTACATTCATGGCGGGGGCGCTAAACCCGTGGGGCTCATATACTCAGCAGGGAACGCTATACCCATGGGGCTCATATACTCAGCAGGGGCACATATACACTGGGAGGCAGTTTGATCCAAGGAAAGGATGATCAGCTCCAATTCTTTGAATTAAGAGCCCTTCATTTATACCTCAGGATGGTCACCCATCCATAGCTATTAGTACTATTATGGTATTCATGGGGAGCTAAACCCGTAGGGCACATACTGGCAGGCAGGTTTGATCCAAGGAAAGGATGATCAGCTCCAATTCCTTGAATTAAGGGTCCCTCGCCATCATTTCTACCTCAAGATGGAAATAAGTCACTCTGACTTTTTTGGGTTATCCTAGGTTCTCTACACATATGCTGCTATGTATGATAATTCTATGTAACTGTATTGTGTATACCTGAATAAATTTACTTACTTACTTACACCCATCCAGAGGTAGCACTGTTATGACATTCAGGGGGGAAGCTAAACCCGTAGGGGTTATACACAACCTGGGGAATGGGAGACAATTAGTTTTGATCCGAGGAAGGGGAGATTATCTCGAAGAGCTTCCCAGGATGGTCAAGTCACCCTCAGACCTCCAATTACCATTACCATTCATGGATGGGGAAGCGATAAATCCTAAGGGAACGGGAGACAATCAGGTTTGATCCAAGGAACAGAGAGGGACAGCTCTAGTTCCTCGGATCATTTAACCCACATCAAGACACCATCCTTAACGGAGTCCGTTTCCGATTATATACTCTAAAGTTCATAGGAGTTGGGCTCCAGCTTTTGGTCCAGCCTCTTGACTCACTAGGGTGAAATAACGTTGATATATATTTTGGAACAGTTGGATGGAGTCCGCAGTAATTCATTTATTGCCAGAAACCCCTCAAGGAAGGTTCCTTGATGTTGGTGAGGGGCTCTTGATTTAGGGAATTGGATCTGTGCTCCTGTTCCCCGAATTAAGCCTGAATGCCTTCCACATCCCCCCCCCAGGCGCTGTATAATCCTCCGGGTTTAGCGCTTCCCCCTTGATTATAATAATAATAATAATATTGCCAGAAAGTGACATACAAAATACATTACGTATATACTGCAGAGAGTATACAGAAATATATAAAGGTTTATGAAGAAACAGGATATATAGATAGGGTATATAGATATATTTATAAAATATATGGGTATATAGATACAAGGTATAAAGAGGGTAAATATAGATATTTATAAGGTATATAAGGGGAGTATATATATATTTTACAAGGTATAAAGTATATATATATATATATATATATATATATATATATATATATATATATTATATATATATATATATATATATATATATATATATATATATAGAGAGAGAGAGAGAGAGAGAGAGAGAGAGGAAATATATACTATTGGTGTCAGCGCTAATAAAGAGCTCCGCTGCTCCACCACTGTCGTCTGTACCTACAAATATTTTGCTTAATAATTGAATTAAATTATTATTATTATTATAATCAAGGGGGAAGCGCTAAACCCGGAGGATTATACAGCGCCTGGGGGGGGGGATGTGGAAGGCATTCAGGCTTAATTCGGGGAACTGGAGCACAGATCCAATTCCCTAAATCAAGAGCCCCTCACCAACATCAAGGAACCTTCCTTGAGGGGAATTGAATTAAAAATATTCAACTCAGAAAGTTATTTTTTTTTTTTTTTTCAATCACCAAAACTAATGTGTGTGTGTGTACTCACCTATTTGTGGTTGCAGGGGTCGAGACATAGCTCCTGGCCCCGGAGGCCTGGTGGCTAAAGCTTCCGCTTCACACACGGAGGGCCCGGGTTCGATTCTCGGCGGGTGGAAACATATCGACGCATTTCCTTACACCTGTTGTCCTGTTCACCTAGCAGCAAATAGGTACCTGGGTGTTATTAGTCGACTGGTGTGGGTCGCATCCTGGGGGACAAGATTGAGGACCCCAATGGAAATAAGTTAGACAGTCCTCGATGACGCACTGACTTTCTTGGGTTATCCTGGGTGGCTAACCCTCCGGGGTTAAAAATCCGAAGAAAATATTATATCTTAGGTTATCTTATCTTTTCACTGATCGCTACTAAGTCCTCTCCCTGCTCCATGAGCTTTGTCATACCTCGTCTTAAAACTGTATGGTTCCTGCCTCCACTACATCACTGGCTAGGCTGTTCCACTTCCTGACAACTCTATGACTAAAGAAATATTTCTTAACATCTTTTTGACTCATCTGTGTCTTCAACTACCAATTGTGACCCCTTGTTGCTGTGTCCCATCTCTGGAACATCCTGTCTGTCCACCTTATCTATTCCTCTCAGTATTTTGTATGTCATTATCATATCTCCCCTAACCCTCCTGTGTGTGTGCTTGCGTGCGTGCGTGCTCACCTAGTTGTGGTTGCAGGGGTCAAGTCAGCTCCTGCCCTGTGTATGTCATACAGAATTGGTAAAATTGGTTAATTAGCAAGAACTCATTTAAAATTAAGTCCTTTCTAAAATTTTCTTTTATATAATAATAATAATAATAATATCCTTATTTACTACAAGTACATGTACAAGGTATACAGACCATAGCTGACATCAATGACATACTACTACGTATATAGAAAGCCCCTTGTTATGTGGAGCATTTTGGGCAAATTCGGTCAGTTGTGTCCCAGGATGCGACCCACACCAGTCGACTAATACCCAGGTACCCATTTTACTGATGGGTGAACATTGACAACTGGTGTAAAGAAGCACGTCTGATGCTTCCACCCCTTCGTCGGGAATTGAACCCAGACCCTCACCGTGTAAAAATAATAGAACAGCTGAAGGCTTATAAGGCCAAGATAACACCTCATGGTCAACATCCAACACCTCACCTATCCCTTATGATGGTGCAGGTGAAATGATTAAGGACTTGTCAATTATTATAATCAAAGAGAATCACTAAACCTACAAGGGTTACACAGCACAGCTCAGACTTGTCAAACATATCAAACATATTCTTCCCAAATTTTATTAATCATAAATAAATCTAATCTCCATGGGAAAGTGGAACAGAATTCTTCCTCCGTAAGCCATGTGTATCGTAAGAGGCAACTAAGATCCCAGGAACAAGGGGCTGATAACCCCTTCTCCTGTATGCATTACTATAGTTAAAAAGAGAAACTTTTGTTTTTCTTTTTTGGGCCACCCTGCTTCAGTGGGATGCGGCCGGTTTGTTGAAAGAAGAATAAATAAATCTAATTTGTATAATTCTAAGGAATCTTGAGGAATTTTTAATCAGACGTTTTTACTGAATCAAGATTTTTAAACATAATTTTGATTTTAAAATTTATAAGTAAAGTATATCAAGAAGGTTTCCATGGTAAGAGATAACCAACACATTCTTGGTTGAATGTGATTAGTTGTCTGTTTTTTGAACTGCAATACAATCACAGACAGGCGCTCTTATCACTGCAAGTCAAGCCACGGGGAATGGAAATCTTCAGCTCAAGTGCTTTCACATGACTGTCATCAGGAGCTATGCAATATTGCAACAGGAGGAGTGAGGGGAAGTTTTCTATGATTAAGGTAGCATGATGACACCAGCCAGTTCCTCTCATGATGGACAGAAAAAGAAAACAGCATTTCTAGATTGCAATAGTTTTGAAACTCATTAAAATTTTTATTTCACACTATAAATTTCCCTCCGTATTTTCTCACTAAATATTTTTTATTTCATACTATAAATTCCATCCTGTATATTCTCAAATCTATGCACTTTGTGAAGCCAACATTAATTATTGTGTACACATATCCTAATGACAAAACATGCACACCAAACTGCTGTGTTGGCTTGTTTCTCATTGCCAAGTTAGTGCTGTGTTGGCTTATTTCTCATTACCAAATTAGTGCTGTGTTGGCCTGTTTCTCATTACTAAATTAGTGCTGTGTTGGCATGTTTCTCATTACTTAATTAGTGCTGTGTTGGCATGTTTCTCATTACTTAATTAGTGCTGTGTTGGCATGTTTCTCATTACTTAATTAGTGCTGTGTTGGCTTGTTTCTCTCTATAGATACTCAAAAATTAGGGACAAAGGAATTAATGTACAATTGCTATGGATCCCATCACACATTGGATTACTCCTTCATGATAAAGTTGATATGTTAGCCAAGAAGAGTATCCAGAAGGAGAACGTAGAATATAACTTTGGTATAACTGTGTCTAGCATTAGGAATAATATTAGAAGAGAAGTAAATAATGAAGATGATTGTTATAGGAATGCAGTTAGAAGCCTGAGTAGATCTATAACCCACTATGATAACATGAACGTAGATAAGTATGTTTATGGAGCAACTTGCAATGTGAACAGACTGACTGATGTTGTAGTGGCCAGGCTTAGGCTTGGTTACAAGTACTTCTGGCAGTTTGGGAGACACACAGATGATGATCAAACTAAATGTAAATTATGTGATCAGGCATATGGTCACTCTCTTGAACACTATGTGCTTAATTGTCCACTTATTCAAGAATACAGAGACAGACAGTATAATAACCTATGTGACATGTCAAGATATCTTATTAATGAAAATAAGATACCAGATATACTAAGCAAATTTCCTAAATTTGCTTGTAACAGATAAGTGAACTATAGATATGTAGATATAAATCCATATGTATTCCTGTTAACCCTTTGGGGCCTAGTTCCTAGGCCTTTTGTGTATCCACATGCTCTCGCGCTACCGTCCACAGGATGGATATGGGGTGCACAATAAACTAGCCACTTCGGTGGCAAAATCTAAAATCTCACTACTAAATTAGTGCTGTGTTGGCATGTTTTTCATTAGTAGATTATTCTTTTCACCAAAATTTTATTTTTTACAATTTTGACCTAACTTATTACTTGTATACTGTAGATAAAAACTTAACTTGAATCCTATAATACATAACCAGAATTTTTTTCAAGACTTTGCCATAAAGACAAAGGGACACACTCGTAAATAGGGTTTTCAACAGATAAATGAAACTAATTTTATAATCATATATTTTTATCACAAGGGTTACAAAAATGTGTTCAAATACCTATCAGTTTTCACACATCCTAGCTTACTATAACAAAGTATTTCTTGCCACAAACTATTAAATATATAAAGTGTAACTGTGTTGAAGCACGCTATTTTCTCCATGTATTTTACTGTAGTTATAATTTTTATATTTCAAATAAAGAATTGACATACCAAGAAAATTTATTTTTGTTAGGGATATAATGAAGACTGTCTTGGAAAGCTTATAATTTTTAATGAACCCAGTGTATTAACCTATGTTTGATTGCAAGTGTTATTACATATACTCTTTGGTAATAAAGATACTAACTTCAGTGAAGTCCTACAATGTTTCACCCACAGGTGGGCTTTTCAAGCATTTTTTCAACAAACTGGCCACCTCCCACCAAGGTAGGGCAACTGAAAACATAAGAAAACACTTTCACCATCACTGTCTTGCCAGAGGGATGCCAGTACTAGTTCAAAAAGGCAAATATCCCCATATATGTACTAGAAAAACTACACCTGTGGGACTTCACTGCAATTAGTGTCTTTATCACCACTTGTCAGCACTGTGCCTCAAACTGGCAACATGCATTCTTTATTATGTGAGAAAAATAGTAACTAGGGATGTTATCTAACAAAAAATATTTGCTCTACTTCAGCAATGTTCTCTACATACAGTATCATTGGAATAAGTCCCTTATTTGCTTTTTTTATTCTACTTTTTAAGTCGCCGGAAAACTGTTACTACTCAAGGTTGTTGTTTCATCTTCCTCCACTTCAGGTTCCTCATTATGCAAACGATTTCGTCTCCTCTGTTCCTTGCGTTGCCTTCTTATCTCTTTCCGCTGTTCTTTTCGTTTCTGCTTCTGCTGATGACGGCGCTCTTTCCGGCGCTCCTTTCGTTGCATCCTGCGTGTTTGCTTTTTATTTTTAATAGCATTCCTGAAATGCACAAAAATGTATAGAATGAGATTAAAAAGAATAAACAACTGATAAAATTCAACAAAATTATTGTAAAACTTTGTTAAACATGGGAATTGTGTTCCCATATGCTTAACAAGGATTTAGAGAAACTGGTTAGCCAGACTTGAGTCCTGGAGGTTGGAAGTGAAGCAACTGCACACTAAACGAGGGGGTTTGGGATATATGCCATTGGAAGAGACATCTAAACAGTCATATCTGTGCACCTCTGGCAAGACAGTGATAGTGTGAATGATGGTGAAAGTGTTTCTCTTTTGGGTCACCCTGCCTCAGTGGGAATGGGCAACATATTAAAATAAAAAATATCTTAAATGTTATACCTTAGAGAAGAGCTACTATTATGCTAAAATGTATAATTTTTGTGCTACACAGGTTTGAATACACTGTCACTGTTTTCTAAGTATGCAAGTGTGACATATGAGTGTCTGTCAAATTCCATTTATGTGACCCTCCTGTGACACATGCACTTATCTGCATCAAATTCCATCATCCATCACTCCAAGTACTCAGTTTAGCAAAGTTCCCTTGCAAGGGTTTACAATAATTTATATTTCTTATGTCTTATAGGATTTTTGCATCATCCACAAACATGTTCACAGTTTTGGAAAGCTCTTGTGTCATTTATTAAAATATAAACACTATCAGGGCAAGCACAAATTTCCATGAGTTCTCTGGTGATATACAGTGGAACCTCTACTTGCGAGTGTGTCCACGTGCGAGTTTTTCCAAATACGAGCAGTCGATGGGTCGATTTTTTGCTTCCATACGCGAGCAAAATTTCCACAAGCGAGCAGACCTCAAGGCAGGTTCCTTGACACTGGTGAGGGGCTCTTGCTCTTGATCTCGGGAATTGTATCTCATTTGTTTGTTGGACTATCTTATTGAAACTTGGGCAATGTATGATGGAAAGATGCTTCTTAATGTACACCAAAAATGAAAGAAATCTAAGCATAAATAATGGAGTTCACTTCTCAGCAATTAGATGGCAGTGTTTACCACAACAAAGAGGGAGCAGTTGTGGCCACCTCCACCTGTTACATAATGACATATTTTATTCATTCTAGAGTATGTATCGTGTTTCTATGTTATTTATATTGTCTGTTATGTCATATTAGATGAACTGTGATACATAAATAAGCCGTATAGATGATATTAGCGAAATTATTCATGAAGAATTTTGCCCGGTGTCCAGACAAACTCTCGTCCACCGCCGACACCGCCCATACCGCTACATGAATGACATATTTTATTCATTCTAGAGTACGTATCATGTTTCTATATTATTCATATTGTTTGTTATGTCATACTAGATGAAGTGAGATAGCTAAATAAGCCGTAGAGTTGATATCAGCGAAATTATTGAAGTACAGAATTCCACTGGAACGGATTAATTGCATTTCAATTAATTTAAATGAGGAAAATTGATTCTGCAAACGAGCAAATCCAGTTGCGAGCAAGGTCATGGAATGGATTAAACTCGCAAGTAGAGGTTCCACTGTACTTTCAAAGGTACATTTTTACTCTTACCACTGTGTGTTGTTTCATTTCAGGGAAAAAACTCACTATGGCTTCTTGTAAAGTTAGATCAAACTTTTTCCCATTACTGCACTGACTTTGAATGGAATAAAAATAATGATCAACCATTTGATGTTCTTCCAAATAATACTTCACTATATATTCTTAAAAAAAATGAACAGCATTTATCATGTTAGCTGTGAACTTGGAATATCACTTACCACATGTCTGCTGCAAACTTGGAACATCACTTACCACATGTCTGCTGCAAACTTGGAACATCACTTACCACATGTCTGCTGCAAACTTGGAACAACACTTACCACATGTCTGCTGCAAACTTGGAACATCACTTACAACATGTCTGCTGCAAACTTGGAACAGCACTTACCACATGTCTGCTGCAAACTTGGAACATCACTTACCACATGTCTGCTGCAAACTTGGAACAGCACTTACCACATGTCTGCTGTGAACTTGGAACAACACTTACCACATGTCTGCTGTGAATTTGGAACAGCACTTACCACATGTCTGCTGTGAACTTGGAACAGCACTTACCACATGTCTGCTGTGAACTTGGAACAATACTTGCCACATGTCTGCTGCAAACTTGGAACAGCACTTACCACATGTCAGCTGTGAACTTGGAACAACAGGATACAAAAGTTGATTTGCAACTCTCTTCTCCTATTGCAAACTGATGATTGGCAAATGTTGTTACGATTTCACTTGTAGTGTTGCATGAGGTCCTGGGTACATCTCCTGCATATAGAATAAAAACTTTTAGCTTGCTAAAATAAATACAAGACTCATGTTCAATTTTATTTCTAATTACTGCAATACAACAAGAAATGTATGAAGAAAGGTTGACAGGCAAGCATCTGCAAGAAACATCGTAATCTTTCCCACCTCGTGTTTGCCTAATTTGGTTGTCATGTTAGTTCATCTCCAGACTCAGGTTGTTTCTCACTGAGGCAGGGTAACCCCCTCCCCCCAAAAAAAAAATTCTTTTTATATTTAGCAATTTATACAAGAGAAGGGGTTACTAGCCCCTTGCTCCTGGAATTTTAGTCGCCTCTTATGACATGCATGGCTTATGGAGGAAGGATTCTTCTCCACTTCCCCATGGAGTAAATGATGTTATGCAACAGAAAAACACTGCCCAGTTTCCTATGCCGAGTTGAAAGTCTAACAGAGTTAATAAGATAATTGATTCCCATTCCTTTAAACAATTAATGTACTGTCACATTCAATTTCTTCTAGAAAAACAATGCAATTCTTCCTTCAACCTCTGCAGAATTAATTAAACATCTTGATCAATTTCTGAAGAATGGTTACAATGTCTGCTGCAAATGCCCTCCCCCCTTGCAAAACAAAAAAAAATCAACTTCAACTGTCCCTGATAAAATTATCAATAACTAATCTGACTTTAAATAAAACGGATCACATCTAATTACTGTATATCAGTGTTAGAGTGGGTTACTTAGATTTCCCTAGAGAATAACAAAACAGAAGTACGTTTTTCGCACTCACCCTCTTCTACTGAGGTATTGAGTATAATTTGATATTTTTTGTGCTTGACTCCCTGCTTGCAGCAAAACTTTATCCCTGGATGATGAATCTTCTCTATAACAAAAAATATACAGATTAAAGAACTATAATTATTACTGAGATTATGTCATCACTCACATACTGACTCAACAACATACTCACCGGGGAAGTCAGATAAAGATACTAAAAAATCATGGAAAGTGAAATTAAAGTACAATTGTTATGGACTCCACCATACACTGGATTATTGCTTCATAATAAAAATTTATTAGCTAGCCAAAAACATACCCTGCAGGAACAGTGTAGATTATAACTTTGGTGTGTCTGTTTCTAGCATTAGAAATAATATTAGAAGTAAATAATGAAACTGAATGTTATAGGAATGCAGTTAGAGGACTGAGTAGATCTATCACTCACTGTGATAATACAAATGTAGATAAGTTTATAGAGCAACCTGCACTATGAAGAGACTGACTGATGTAGTAGCCAGGCTTAGGCTTGGTTACAAGTACTTCTGTCAGTTTGGCAGACACATAAATAACAAAAAAAGGCACAATACCGTGACTGGAACAATACACAAATAACCCGCACATAGAAGAGAGGAGCTTACGACGGCATTTCGGTGTGACTTTGTAAATGGTCCAAGTCGGACCGAAACGTCGTCGTAAGCTCCTTTCTTCTATGTGCTGGTTATTTGTGTATGGCAGACACGTAGATGACAATCAAACCAAATGTAAAATATGTTGTCAGCCCTACAGTCACTATCTTGAAAACTATGTGCTTAATTGTTCGTTTATTAGAAAATATAGATAGATAGTATAACATCATATTCTAGCTGCCCAAAGTATCACACTAACATGCTAATATTACTACCATAAACACTGTTACCCCTTCTTACTTAATAACTTCAAAAATATTACTAAATGATTTGAACCCTTATTACAGTAAGTGGCTTAATAATTTACTTGTATTGTATCTCAATAAATCTCAGTTGCTCAGATACATACTAAGATTACAGTACAGAATAAGTCACAATAATGTGGCTGCAAAACTTCACAACTAACATACACTTTAGAGAGGAAACTTTAGAAAATATTTCGATCCATCCTGAACCATTATCAAGAAGCTAAAGTATGGCATAAGTGACAAATGGTAAAGCAATACATGCAGCCAATGGAGGCCTCTATTACTATGACATTTCAATTACATGAGGTTTTTATCAATTTGATAAAGCCTCATGTAGGTGAAATGTCATGAACCTTTGATGAGTTTTGAGAGTTTTTCTGCTCCCAGAGCTTGGCCATGGGCCAGGGTCATCTGGTTCTTGCCTGGTCAACCAGGCTGTTGCTGATGGTAGCCCAGTGACCCAAATATCCATCACTGCCTGGTCTTTGAAACAAATGTCAAGATTTTATGTGGATGTAATCCTGCATTAGCCTCGCAGCATTTTCACACCTTCCCCAAAACCACAAAAGCACAGAAGTAACTAAGCAAATATTTTACATGATACTCAGCCTTTCTCAGGATTCATTAAAAAACTTAATTCATATGCCCTTTAAGCCTATTGGTACAAAGATTTCACATTTCATGACTAACAAATTGTGCAAGCAAGACATTTTAGGTGTGAACACTGCTTAGTCTACTAATAGCAGCATTCCCACACTTCTGTCCCTGCCGTCATTTAAATAAATTTCCATCTCAGCTATTGTGCAACAATAAATAATAAATTAGCCATTTATAAAAGTTGGAAGAAAGAACAGAGCATTAGTTTAGGCCTTACTTTTATCTCTGCGTCTCATTTTCTTTTGTCTCCTGTTCTTTCTGCGAGATGTCTGATTTTCTCCTTCCACGTCAGCTGGCACACTGCTTTCCTCTGCCGACGGGTCTTCCACACTGCTAGGACTGTCTTCCACCTCACTGCTGTCAGGAGTAGCTCCCAGGAGAATGTCTATCAGTCTGTCTTGCTCTAGCTTCAATACACCATGATGAAAAATAATGATTATATGCACACCTCTAATCGCATTATAATTATTATATTTATGAGGAAATGCTAAACTCATATTTATGGAGAAGCACTAAACCTGTTGGGTTCACATAGTGCCTGGGGAAAAATTAAGGTAACCAGGTTTTATTTGAGGGTAGGGTAGCCCCATTTTCTTGGATTAAGAGCCTTTCACTAGCATCAAGGCATCCCCTAAATGGGAATGTGGCTATTGCTTGTGTTGATACATATAATTAGATGGTGACCAGTCCTTGCATGCAGAATCTCGCCATGATTTACAATTTATTACAGTGGTTATTATGACCAGCATTTTGCATTTGGGGACAGTGACGTGCATGATCATTCCATCCTAAATCTACGTTAGTACTGATCATAAAAAAAAAAAAAAAACACGGGCGGGGATAGAACCCATGATCAGACATAAAACTCCAGACCAACACGGTAGCCACTGGGCCTGTTCGTTGGTCTGGACTTTTATGACTCCCTGATCGTGGGTTCTATCCCCACCCGTGGTATGGCTTGTTTGTAATCGTGTCATTACGATTTCGTGAGTCATGATGACGGCTTTGAGGAGACTTGAGTTAGAGCTAGTCAGGGTCATGCTGGCAGGAGATTCATCTGTAAAAACTTGCATTTGTGGTCACAGTGATGCCTATGCTAACCTTCCTACGGTGTATAAATATACCTAGTTGGATGAATGTTGTTGTAGCCCGTTGGCCCAGTGGCTAGCATGTTGGTCTCGAGTTTTATGACTCTCTGACTGTGGGTTCTATCCCCGCCCGTGGTATGGTTTGTTTACAATTGTGTCATTACGATTTCGTGAGTCATGGTACTGATCACGTTTTTCCATGAAGGATGTAATTTAGCATCTAATCTTTTCAAAGACTTTTCATGATGTGTGATGTTAGGGTTATTTTTTTTTTTATTATCACACCGGCCGATTCCCACCAAGGCAGGGTGGCCCGAAAAAGAAAAACTTTCACCATCATTCACTCCATCACTGTCTTGCCAGAAGGGTGCTTTACACTACAGTTTATAAACTGCAACATTAACACCCCTCCTTCAGAGTGCAGGCACTGTACTTCCCATCTCCAGGACTCAAGTCCGGCCTGCCGGTTTCCCTGAATCCCTTCATAAATGTTACTTTGCTCACACTCCAACAGCACGTCAAGTATTAAAAACCATTTGTCTCCATTCACTCCTATCAAACACGCTCACGCATGCCTGCTGGAAGTCCAAGCCCCTCGCACACAAAACCTCCTTTACCCCCTCCCTCCAACCCTTCCTAGGCCGACCCCTACCCCGCCTTCCTTCCACTACAGACTGATACACTCTTGAAGTCATTCTGTTTCGCTCCATTCTCTCTACATGTCCGAACCACCTCAACAACCCTTCCTCAGCCCTCTGGACAACAGTTTTGGTAATCCCGCACCTCCTCCTAACTTCCAAACTACGAATTCTCTGCATTATATTCACACCACACATTGCCCTCAGACATGACATCTCCACTGCCTCCAGCCTTCTCCTCGCTGCAACATTCATCACCCACGCTTCACACCCATATAAGAGCGTTGGTAAAACTATACTCTCATACATTCCCCTCTTTGCCTCCAAGGACAAAGTTCTTTGTCTCCACAGACTCCTAAGTGCACCACTCACTCTTTTTCCCTCATCAATTCTATGATTCACCTCATCTTTCATAGACCCATCCGCTGACACGTCCACTCCCAAATATCTGAATACATTCACCTCCTCCATACTCTCTCCCTCCAATCTGATATTCAATCTTTCATCACCTAATCTTTTTGTTATCCTCATAACCTTACTCTTTCCTGTATTCACCTTTAATTTTCTTCTTTTGCACACCCTACCAAATTCATCCACCAATCTCTGCAACTTCTCTTCAGAATCTCCCAAGAGCACAGTGTCATCAGCAAAGAGCAGCTGTGACAACTCCCACTTTGTGTGTGTTAGGGTTACTGGTCTGTAATTCTTGGCTAGTGCTCTATTGCCTTCTTTATGCAAAGGAGACAGTTGTATCTGCACTCTTCAAGGCCTGTTGGGTGCCCTGATGATTAGTAAAGTATTCTTGAACTATGAAATTAGAGCTAACCTCCTATTTCTTGGATCAAACCTGATCATCTCCAATCCCAAAGGCATTATATAACCCCTATGAGTTTAGCACTTTCCAAGTACATAAATTACTGAACTGAAGGGAATACCAATATTTTATTTTTTATTTTATTTTATTTATTTTATGTTTTTGCAAACAGTACATTGAGATTTTGTATTTACAATAGTGGGTTGCAATACAAAGAGAGCCTCTATTATGCCTAGGCATTATGGGCCAACTTAACATTATTGGCTTACAGACTACTTAACACTAAGGATTATATCATAGTTGTACAGTATATGCATAAAAGTATCAGTGTAATAATACATGTATATGTATGTATGTATACAAATATTATTATAATACCAACATAAGAATAAAACAACAGTGTAATACAGTACAGGAGAGCCCTGCTTTACAGCACTTCACTTTACGTCATTTCGCTAATTCAGCAGTTTTTCAATTATACCCATTTTTCATTCATTCAGACTTCATACAATAAATATATTCACTACTCACTATAAGTTAAAGTTGAAAATACTTTACGGAAAGTATGTTTTCTCCATGGGGAAGTGGAAAAGAATTCTTCCTCTGTAAGCCATGCGCATCATAAGAGGCAACTAAAATGCCATGAGCAAGGGGCTAATAACCCCTTCTCCTGTATAAATTATCCCGTATACCACCTGCCTCGGTGGGACACGGCCGATTTGTTAAAAAATTATGTATATAAAAGTAAGTAATGTGTGCACTGTATGTGCATTTCTTAGGCCTAACTCTATTGCTCACTTAATATATGATGGTATCAACACGTTATCAGGCTTTTATATGCATCTGAAAGAAAAAAAAAAGGCTATGTATGTTTCATGTTAAGAAATTTTTCCTTTACATTAGTAGCTCAGAACTTAATCTGCTGTGTAAGTGGGGCCCTCCTATACCAATGTCAGCATAAAACATCTCAAATATGGCACCAATATAAGAATAATATCATTGTAATACCAGTGTGAACATAAAACATCTTTGTAATAATTTAAGTACGAATTATGAGTATTCTCTTATAATGATGAGTCAGCGAACCTCAAACACCATTACCTGGGGGACTGTTGAGTTTAGATCTCCATTACCACCATCCATATGTAGAGCTGTGCTGTTGCCAGCTTGTGCTGATGTTTCTGCAACAATATGGTGTGAAAGCATATTAACATTATAATTAACAGCAATATCATATTAAGTTACCTAATACTGTATGGTCCATACTTTCATATACATACCATGTGCACATCAGAGTCTTCTACAGCTAAGAAAGACTACAAATAATAATAATAAGTATGAGCAAGGTAACATTTATAAAGGTATTCAGGGAAACTGGTTAGATGGACTTGAGTCCTGGAGGTGAAAAATACAGTGCCTGTACTCTGAATGCAAGCACTGTATTTCCCATTTATTAATCACAGCTACTGTAATGCCTTACCATTCTGGTGCTTCCAGTTTTTTTTTTGCCGATGCTTCCTGAGCTTTTTCCATGAATTCTTTGAAAGTCGGCCATTTTGTCTTAGGAAAAAATTTAATTGGAAAGTAAATAAACTTAGATTAAATGTAAAATATAACAGTAATATCAAAGTTATGCAAAATCCCTAATTTACATTAAAAATTAAATGTTTAAAAAGTGAATAGAATAATGGCACATCAAGCCTCCTTCTGTGAACACTCAAGCAAGTATTGGCCCCACTTTACTATAGTACATTCCTTTTGTATTCAATGATGAACCTCTTTCCTTAGACTCCTCAACATTCCAGCTATTTTTTTTTTGCCTCATTGTATGAGTCATTTTGTCTTTTACAGCCCCATCTGCAAATACATCCACTTCCAAGTACAGTATCTAAATGCATACAGTATCTAAATGCATACAGTATCTAAATGTGTACAGTATCTAAATGTATACACTTCCTGTATACTCTTCTCTAATTTGACATCCAATCTTTCATTACCTAAACTTTTTATAACTCTTGTTATCTTGCTCTTTTCTGTGTTTTCTTATAAAATTATTATCTTCACTAGACTATACCACGAGTTATTATAATGGGTCTTACCTGTTTCTTCTGCGGTTCAACCGTCGATTATTCCTTTGTTTCTCCTGGTTCAATTGCTGGTGAACTTTACGTCTGAGTAATTGAAGTAAAACTTTTATCTCATAGAAAGATCATATTTAGAAACATTATACATACGTATTCAGAAATATTCTGTACTGCTAAAGAATACATAATTTATCAAACAGACAGCAGCTTCCATTACCCCCTCTACTCCAGACAACTAACATTAGTATGAAGAACAAATAGGCACAATACCATGACCAGAACAATACACAAATAACCCACACAAAGGAGAAAGCTTATGATGACATTTCAGTCTGCTTGGACCATTGACAAGTAACATTAGCCTTGCAGTCCTTGCCATGAAAGCTATTAAAGAATTCACTAGGGCATTCTATCTCACCAGGAACTGAGCCACAGTGAGGGTTTGCAGCATCCCATGTGAGGGATACAGTTGGGTTTATATGAACATAAATTACCATGTAAGGGATACAGTAATCTTTATAGGAACATAAATAACCATGCGAGGGATACAAACATGTCTATAGGAACATAAATAATCGTGTGTCCAAATCATGTGTGCACATGAGTGAGTGTGAGTGAGAAAGATGCAAAATTTCCAATTCAAACCTGTAAGTAATGTTTACAAAAATAATATGTGAGAATTCTTGTGAATAACTCTCATCAAAGGTCTCTGAATGGGACAACTTATCCCATCTCACTGAAAAATTATTTTTATTCTAAAAGATAAAAAACAGTTCATGGGACGTGAAATACCTGCCAGCTTGCCGAATCCTTTGCCGGTTCTCTTGCATCCTCCTCTTCCTCTCTAGGCGTCTTGCCTCCTTCCTTGCCTTTCTATTTTTCTGCCTTCTTCCCATCTTCACACTGCCAGGTACACTCTGATAATACAAAAAAGATAACTATTAATACTAAAGATCCAATTCACTATTTCACATTTTTTTACTTTCACAATATGATGAGATTCTACCAGTAATGTAATTTAGTAGATACAATATTTTATGTGATCAGATGAAATATAAATAAAAGTCTATTTTATATAATGGGAATGAAAGAACTCTTGTTGGAACTTAAAAATTGCATACTACTTTCTAAATGCTGAACAAATAGGTTCTGTTTTAGCCTTACAGTATTCCATGTACTGCTCCCACAACTACTACTACTACTACTATTGCCATAACCATTATTACTATCTATTCAAATACTACTGTACTATTACTATGCCCTGAGTGGTCCATGGCCATCTGATTATCCTCAATGTTTTTGTGACCTAACATGTGTTCCTTTGACCAAAGTCATTCCTTATATTGTCTCCATGTACCAGTACTCCAGGCAAGTAAGATTTACACACTGCTTCTCCAACCTGTTCTTAGAGGGCGGTATGTTTTGCACTTACAACATCAGTGATCAGTGTATTCCAGTGATTTATAAACAAAAAAAATTGTGCACATTTGCACTGCACCTCATGCCTAGAGTTTTTAAATTATTTTTCATCATTGAATCACTCTGTCGTCAAAACAGCACTTCACATTTGAGCATATCAAATTTGTTTAGAAACTTGAAAGGTATGAATAAGATCTAGCAGTTTTTGTTTTCTAAGAAATAGAGTAGATAACGCACTCTGAGTTTCTCTTCATGGGGTTTGTTTCCTAAAGGGAGGAAGGAAGAAGGGGATATGGGAAGTAAGAATGAGGGATATATGTACTACCACTACTACTAAGTAGCAAAAATATTAAAATTGATACAATTTACAATAGAGAGGTAGCAAAATATTATAAGTAGGACAGTTTACAATAGTATAATTTTGAGTGTGTATTAGTGAAGGTACGAGTTCTGTTGCCCTTCTCCACACTCTCCCCAGTTTATCTTCATCTTGTATATAAATTGAGAAACAAAACTGTACAGTATATTCAAGGTGAGGTCTGACAAGTGATTTATTGTCTTTATTGTCTCTGGTATTTTGTACTTGAAATGTCTACCAAAGAAACCATAATATATTATTTGAATATTCAAATAGATAGCCAGTAAGAATACTGCCTCATTCAGGGATGGGGGAAATTCAACATGGCTTAAAGTAGTGAAAAGTCCAGTGGTGCCTGGCACTCGGCAGGAGGGTTGAGGTGTATTTTTGTGTCCATCCTCCTCCAGGGTCTCCTTATGACAATGGTGTAGGGGAAGAGAACATCATAGCCCAAGAGTGTGCCTGGCTAGTGGGACAGGTGGTTTTTAATGAATGTGCTGTTGGGGTGTGAGCAAAGGAACATTCATGAAGGGATTCAGGGAAATTTGTTAGCAAGACCTAAATCCTAGAGACAGGAAGAGCAGTGCCTGTGTGATGAAAAAAGAGGCAGAGATGAAACAGTCAGAGGGTAATCTGAATTGTCATGTCAGCACACTTCTGACAAGACAGTAACTGAATGAATGATGGTGAATGTGTTTCCTCTTTTGGGTCACCCTACCTTGGTGGAAGACAGCTGTTGTGGTAAAAAAAAAATGGTAATGAGCTATAGGTAATGTGTATATCATTGGGCCAGATTAGTACCACTGAGTCTTGGTCAGAGGGAAACATAATAGTTTGATGACCTATTATTACTATTAACTCAAATGTTAATGTTCCTCAAGTTACACCTTTGTAAACTATAATGCTTTATAAATTTACCAACATATGGTCCTCAGTTATTTTGGTAAAACTCTGCAGATTTAAACTAGAAAAAATTGAAGACCAAGCATACATACATCGTCATCCTCATTTCCATTGTCTCTCACCCAGCTGCTTAAGATGTCTTGCTCATCCACCTGCAGACCCCAACACTCATTAGGCAATATGTAATGTTATAACTAACTGATACACGAAATAAAAAAATGGCCTATTTGATGTAAATAATAACTGTCATTATGTATAAGCACTAAAGAATTTATATGCTCTAGTAAAGGAATGTACTGTATAGGCATTTGCATGTAGTGTAAATGCAAGTTTGAGTAAGAGTATTTACAACTATTATTATATTTTTCCTTATGATTTACTGTCTTTTGTTTTTAAATTTATCATATTTGACCTTAAAACTTTCCAAATTTTATGGCACACACACCACCTTGTAAACTAGTTCATCAGTTCTGGAATGAGGGCAGCAGATGAGGTGCCAGTAGGTAGATGAAATGCCCCACTTCAGCCTATTGTCTAGGCCATATACACTGAGCAGTCAAGCTAGAACAAGTCTGCTGCCATCTGTTGCAATGGGTACTCTGAGGGTGGAGTGATGAGCAGTGGATTCTGGTTCTGAGAGAGAGATAATGTTCATTTGTTTCTCATGTTGATCGATGGTACTGTGTACTATGAGTTGGCCTCTGACCCAGGCAAGAACAATACCCCTCATTACAATAAAATATACAATATTAACAGGCTGATGAATTATACACATGTGAAACACCTGGGTATCTTTATTTTCAAGATTTTTTGCCAACCAGTGGATTTTCAATTCAATACAGATATTACATACGAAAGAGAAAAAGATGAAGTGATCAGTCCCTCAGCCTTGAAGGTTTTCAATTACCCTAATCCTGATGAAGAACAATACCTACCGAGCCCAGTGATACACTGTATTGCGTAAACTTCGGTGAGGTAAGGGGTCCAGAAATGCATAACTACTTCAGTCACCAAATATGCAACATACAGTTAATAAGCTGAGTAAAGTCAATGAAAAGTATTTAGTGTCATAAGTCAAATAATAATTTTCTTTTTTATGTGGGATGCAATTGTGCAAATCTAGGTCACTCTACATACTGGTATTCTACATGGGGTTAGAGCCATCTGGTGTCAAAGTTATTCTGGAATTATCATATGCTCACACCCTTGCTTGAATGTGTACATCAACAGCATTTTCTCAATAACCCACACAAGTTCATCCCAGGAATGGTTATGTTTGGAGCACTAGGGGCTAGAACATCCACCAGGGTTGTGTGAATGCATTAGACTGGAGTGAGTGGAGACAAGTGTGAGTAAAGTAACATTTATGAAGTGATTCAGGGAAACCAGTTAACTGGACTTGAATCCTGGAGATCCACAGTACAGTGTTTGCAGTGTCTTTATTCCTGAGGGGTAAGGATATTACAGTTTGAAAGACTGTGATATTTGAATACTTCTGGCAAGACACTGACTGAATAAATAACACTGAATACATTTCCTCTTTTTTTTTGGGGGGGGGGGTGTCACCCTGCACCAATGGGAGAGGACTGGTGTGTTAAAAAAAAGATTATTGGAATTGTCCACTTTAAATAAAATAAATGAATACACATATTCTTTTCCCAAAATGGGTTGAAGCAGGGCACCCTGCTTACAGGCTCTGACCCTCTTTACTAACAGGGTCAGCCTTTTTTTTTGGGAAATTCAAGCACATACTATCTGCTCCTCCATAAGGTCTATATACAGTAATTGCTATCATTTCAATCTGTTCACTTCTGGTAAGACAGCTATTGAATGATGGTGTCTCCTCCTTTGAACCACCCTGCAATAGATGTACTGAATGGGATGGTGCTGATCTGAAGATGAGTTGTTTAATAGGTTTTTTGGCCTCTAGATGTTGCATACAATTTTTTGACAATCAGTGACAAGACAGTGATGGAGTGAATAATGATGAAAGTTTTTCTTTTTTGGGCCACCCTGCCTTGGTGGGAGTCTGCCGATGTGTTAATAAATTAAAATAAACTTATTAGTTAAAAACAAAAAAGGCTAGTTTGAAAGGTCTCCTCTTATAATTCTCTTTCAAACAATGGCACAATTTTTCATACTTTCCAAGTATCTGCTAGATTATCTTCCTTTGGTAAAGTCCCCAAAATATGCGAGTGTTTATGTGAAGTTTTCAAGAAGCTATTAAATATCAGAATACAATATTGTTAGTGTTGCCATCACCACTGTTATACAAACACACTGTGGAAGTCCTGAGTATATGTGGTACAGGTGGCAGCCTAGGATGCCACCTGGTAGCAAGGGGTGACATACCATGCTTGGTTTTTCTTTTTTCTCAGACCCCAGTGCTTCGGCTTTAAGGTAAAAACCACATTTAAGGGTAATTAGACCCTCAGAGTAAAATTTAGGGTAAGCCAAAATTTTCAAAATCTTTAATGAGTATTCTGTTATTACTGATCTATGATTTGTTTGTAGTTTTTGTTTCACAATAACCTGCTCGTAGTTGATGTTTACATTAATAAACAAAAGAGGTGTTCTATGCTTTAAAGACAGTGTGTTCAGTGTGTTTTATTTCTGCAGAGGTTATGCTCTGGGTGGAGTGGGAGGTGCTGTTGATGGTGGGAAAGGGCACCTTCGAACGATCTCACCTGAGGCACAAAACATGCCATGCATATATAACTGATATTACTGCACCTACTACTACTTCTATTCAGTGGCATAGCAGAGTTCTAACATCATGGGAATTGAACACTTATTACAATAAAAAGGCTCTGCTTACTATCTTAAACATAGCTTATTTTATGGTAGTAATTGCTGTTTTGTGCATCTTTCATCAACATTCTTAATTGTAAAATGAAATGATCACTAATAGTTAACAATTCCATCATTTAAAAACATGAAAAAGGCCTATATGTATTCTTGTAGTGGTAAAACTAAGTCACTTTCAAAAGTGTTGTGATGTTTGACATCATTTGGATGAACACTTTCTATCATTTATAGCTCTGTAGCTCTCATTGCTGTATAATCCTCCAGGTTTAGTGCTTCCCCCTTGATTATAATAATAATAATGTAGCTCTCATTATCCAAGTTCTTCTGTATAGAGCATTATAGGAAAAACAAAACTGTATGTTTTGAATATAAATTAGCACAATATATAATTGGGAATGCTACAGTAAACAAAAAGGGCAAATAAAACATTTAATATGCTCAGGGAAAACAACCACTCTCCCTGCTTCCTACAGCTACACCACTGCTACTACTATTACTAATACTACTACTGCTGCTGCTATTATTAAAATACTATTACAGCCAAATAACATTAATACTGTACATCAATCTGTTCTAGTTATAACATTGTTTATGTTCATATAATGATACTGTAGACTAAAACATTAATTACTCATAAAATATATACATCACATACAGTTGGCTGTCAATTAACATGGTCGTTACATTTTGGAAAAATGGCTCGATTAAAAAATTGTGTAAAATGAACTGAAGAACTTATGAGAAAAACATGGTTACATTCCTCACACAACCTAACAAAAAGCCTAACAAATTTTTTTTTTGTCTTGAAATTACCAATGACAATGATAATAATGAAACTGTAGGTGGATGCAACATATGGTATATGTGATGATATAATTATAACTACAAAGGTTTTATATATATGTATCTTTATATGTGAATGCTTCTAAACTGTTGTATTCTGAGCACCTCTGCAAAAACAGTGAAAATGTGTGAGTGTGGTGAAAGTGTTGAATGATGATGAAAGTATTTTCTTTTTAGGGATTTTCTTTCTTTTTTGGGTCACCCTGCCTCGGTGGGAGACGGCTGACTTGTTGAAAAAAAAAAAAATATATATATATTCTTTTTTTTCAACACCCCGGGCCCCCGCATCCCACCGAGGCAGGGTGGCCCAAAAGGAAAAACGAAAGTTTTCCCTTTTACATTAGTAATAAAATACAGGAAAAGGGGTTTAACTAGCCCTTGCTCCCGGCTTTTTAGTCGCCTCTTACAACACGCATGGCTTACGGAGGAAGAATTCTGTTCCACTTCCCCATGGAGATAAGAGGAAATAAACAAGAATAAAAACTAGAAAGAAAATAGAAGAAAACCCAGAGGGGTGTGTATATATGTGCTTGTACATGTATGTGTAGTGTGACCTAAGTGTAAGTAGAAGTAGCAAGACGTACCTGAAATCTTGCATGTTCATGAGACAGAAAAAAGGACACCAGCAACCCTTTACCATCATGTAAAACAATTACAGGCTTTCGTTTTACACTCCACTTGGCAGGAGGGTAGTACCTCCCTGGGTGGTTGCTGTCTACCAACCTACTACCTCAATAAAATATATATATATATTATATATATATATATATATATTTTTCCAACAAGTCGGCCATCTCCCACCGAGGCAGGGGGGACCCAAAAAAGAAAGAAAATCCCCAAAAAAAGAAAATATTTTCATCATCATTCACACTTTCACCACACTCACACATTATCACTGCTTTTGCAGGTGCTCAGATACAACAGTCTAGAGCATACACATATAAAGATACACAACATATCCCTCCAAACTGCCAATATCCCAAACCCCTCCTTTAAAGTGCAGGCATTGTACTTCCATTTCCAGGACTCAAGTCCGACTATATGAAAAAAAACCGGTTTCCCTGAATCCCTTCACTAAATATTACCCTGCTCACACTCCAACAGATCATCAGGTCCCAAGTACCATTCGTCTCCATTCACTCCTATCTAACAAGCTCACGCATGCTTTCTGGAAGCCCAAAGCCCCTAGCCCACAAAACCTCCTTTACCCCCTCTCTCCAACCCTTTTGAGGACGACCCCTACCCCGCCTTCCTTTCCCCTATAGATTTATATGCTTTCCATGTCATTCTACTTTGATCCATTCTCTCTAAATGACCAAACCACCTCAACAACCCCTCTTCTGCCCTTGACAAATACTTTTTTTAAAACTCCACACCTTCTCCAAATTTTTCCCACACTCCGAATTTTCTGCATAATATTTACACCACACATTGCCCTTAACAGGACATCTCCACTGCCTCCAACCGTCTCCTCGCTGCTGCATTTACCACCCAAGTTTCA